CTGAAGTAAATACCTGGACCCCTTTTTATTTTTTAATACAGGATCTTGCTAAGATGCCCAGGCTAGGCCTGAATTTGGGATCCTCCTGCCTCAGCCTCCCAAATAGAATTACAATTATGCACCTGCACCTAGCTATCTCAATATTTGAATATGTTGTGTCCATTTTTATATTTCTTTTATTGTGTTTCCAGACTTCTTACCATTTGGTCACTTTAGACACTTTCTCGATGTCCTTTTTGAGGTATTAAAAAATGTTTCAAATACTGTACAGGTAATCTAAACAGCAGGCTTCAGTGGGGTTGTCACCTGCTTTTATTTTAATACGGTGATCTGTAAAAGCAACATGTGACTGTTGGGTTTCTTAGCAGCCAGGTCAAACAGGCTTTTTAATTGACCTTATGTATTCTAAAAACTTAAGACCTTTTTTGTCCCTCGGCAGCACTGATTGACTGAATCCAGGGTCTCTGCACTGAGCTGAATCTCCAACCCTTTTTTCATTTTTTTGAGACCGGGTCTCATTAATGTTTAGGCTGGACTCTTAACTTGTAGTCCTTCTCCCTTAGCCTTCCAAGCTGTTGGGATTACAGGCTTTTGCTACCAAACCTGGCAGACTTGAGATCTTTTTAAGGTGAACCACTGAGCCAGGTTCTTGTACTCCATACTATTGCTATGGGTTATTTTATCATGATCAATCTTTTTTTTTTTTTTTTTGTATTGGGGATCGAACTCAGGCCCTTGTGCTTGCAAGGGAGGCAGCAGTACCACTGAGTCAAATCCCCAGCCCAATCCTGATCAGTCTTAATCAAGTGAGAAACATCATTTTTATTTGCATCCATTTTCACAGTCCACTGAGAATTTAGAATGTTACTTTATCTCTTGTACATCTGTGCCAGTAGTGGTGAACCTTTTAAGAGAGTTACAGTGGTACAAATAATCCGCTGTAGTGTGTATACCATAGGTTCACCACCACTGATCAATGCTAACTCCCCATTGAGTTGTCCATGCACTTTTTTAGGATGTCTGGCTGATTCTTCCAAACAGCACATTTTAAAATGCTAAAGTTAACCAGGTGTGGTGGTCTACACCTATAATCCCAGCACTTGAGTGGCTAAGGAAGGGGGATTGCCACAAGTTTGAGGCTGCCCTGGGCTACATAATGAGTTCAAGGCTAGCCTGGACTACATAGCAACACCGTATCTCAAAAAGAAATGCTAAAGATTATAGGGCTGTTTGAAGGTTAACATTGTTCCGTACTATTTAAGGGTGATATTCAACAAGTGTGAATCTATTAAACTGTGTTGTCATGCTCCTTCCTCCTCAAAATGTTTCTGGGTTCAGCAGCAGCACCTGAAGCTTATTAACAGTGTAGCTCACAGATCCAACCACCAACCTACTGAATCAGAATCTGTAGGGTTTCCGGATGATTAACACATTTGCTAACATTTAAGAATCCCTGGGGAAGCCTACGTGTTGCTATAATGTTAGTAAGAGAAACACCAGATCATATGCAGACAACAAATAAGTTACCAATGTTGTCCTGTAGAATTAACTCTGTGGCCCGTGATCCCAGCACTTGGGGGGTGGGGGCTGAGACAGGAAGATCTGAGTTCGAGGCTAGCCTGTAATTCAAGGCCAGACTAAACTATATAGCAAGAAACTGTCTTAAAAAGTTAGACTTGGGCTGGGGATTTAGCTCAGTGGTGCCACTGCCTTCCTCGCAAGCGCAAGGTCCCAAGTTTGATCCCCAGTACCAAAAAAAAAAAGAATTAACTAATTTTAAAATTATGCCTGGCCAACCCGGAGAAAGCTTTGCATGTGATCCAGATGTGCAAGTCAGGGTTGAGAACCACCCCTGTGGAAAGCCAGTTAGCTTAGTGTGGCAGTGAACCCCACATCTGGGGTTTCTTGTACTGTTTGTAGTATATCTGATAGTCTATTGCAGAATTTTACCCTAGGTTTATTTATTGTCAGGTTTTACTGTGCTATAGTTTCTCGGCCTTTTTTGAATATTGGATCATTTTTTGTTTTTCTGCAGTGCTGTGGAGCTAGAACCAGGGCCTCTTGCATGCTAGGCACAGGCTCTTCCACTGAGCCAATCCCTACCTCTGAATCATTATTTCAAACTAATATTTTAACATCTCTACCATATCTCAGAGATCATTGTTAAAATGTTACACGTTCTTGTCTTGATTCTGAGTTTTTTCCCGTTTCCAGTTAGAAGGTAATTTTCCTTATTTAATAAAATTGAAATAGAATGACTCTACCTTCCATCTTCTGTTAATGCACTGAGTCCCCTTCAATACTTTAGTGCAAGATTCTTTTTCAGATAATTTTCTTAGATGTTTCCCATGTTTTGCAAGTTTCTGTTTCTGCACTTTAATGTCCTTGGTGCTATTTATAAGACTTTGTGTCACTGTTGTAACTTTTTGGTGTATGAATTTTCTTCTATCTTTGGTTCATGTAATTCATGTATCAGAACTTAGCGAATGTTTTTGCCTTCTTTTGGAGCCATTTGCTTTTGTTTATTGTTTGTGTTTTTGTGCTTTTTTGAGGCCAGTGCTTGGAATTGAACCAAAGCCTTCTTTCTCATTGAGCTTCTCATATTCCCAGCCCTTTCTTTAATTTTATTTGTTTTTGTTTTGTGGTTGTTTGGAGACAGTGTATTACTAAGTCACCAAGTAACCTAGGCTCAAGTTTTTGATTCTCCTATCCCAACCATAGTGCTATGATGGAAGATTAATTTTTAAAGCCTATTAAACCTAAAATTATTTTCAGAACTTTTTACTGAATATTCATTTGGATTTTGTTCTAACTTTCATGTTATTAGCATTAAAAATACTGCTTTTAAGAACATTAACCAGCCAGGCATGCTGGTGCCTGCTTTATAATCCCTAGCTTCTCAGGATGAGGCAGGAGGGTCAAAGATGCCTGGAAAACTTAACAAGTTGTCTCAAAATAAAATTAAAGGGACTGAGAGTGTAACTCAGTGCTAGAGTGCTTGCCTTAGCATGCAAGAGACCCTGGGTTCAATGCTCAGTGCCACAAAGAATACATCTGAGGCAAATATGGCGTAAACTTTCATAAACATTGATGGTCCTTGTTTTTAGTGTCTGGCGCATTTAGCATACAAGAGTGTTTAGTTTAAGCTACTGATTTCTGGTCTTCCCAAAGTTTCAAGTTATAAAATCAGTATTTGTCAGAAGTTTTAATAGTTTATTCCTATCAAATCAATCTTAGTTATGAGATTAGGAAACTTTCCAAAAATATGATTTTCCTCCCTCCACTTCTTTGACCTCCTTTTATTTGTCTAAACAATGATAGAATAGTTCTAAGAAGATGGTATGGCGATTTAGGTATGTCCATGTCTCAAGTTCTTAAGGTCCCACAAGCAGGCAGAGTTTGACAAGATAGGGTTTCTCTGAGATTTTATATCTGGAAGAGGGTTTTTTTTTTTGTCTTGTTTTGTTTTGCTCTTGAGGAATGATATGTGAACAGTATGGTGTCATGTACTGGGTGTAGGGTTTAATTTTATTACTAATATAGACTTTCATTTATTCACTATTGATAATGACTTTCCTTGCCCAAAAATGACTTACTTGGAAACATGCTTTAGACAAAAAACTTCATTTACACTTTTTAATGAAGAAATATTTTTTATTGATTTTATTGGTACATTTTAGGTATACAGTACAGTTGCATTCATTATTGGAATCTTGTACCTTTACATGACAGGTCTTGGTTCTCATTTTTTCCCCTTGTCCCTGCCCTCCCTTCACCCTTCCTCCCCTCCCCACTACAAAGTGTTTCTGAAGCATGTTTGAGATGTCCCCTCACAGAAGTGTTGTTCCAACAGACGGAGCTGCTCTTTGAGTGACCCAAGCTGGGGTAGAGCTTTAGGGAAAAGGCCTATCTGGAGTGTTTCTACTGCTGCAGGATTCTGCTACCAAAATAGAGTGAAACTGATAGAGGGGGAATCGGGTCCTTACATTTGCAAGGCAGGCCACTGAACCACTGAGCTAAATCCCCGACCCTCTTATGTACTATTATAGTTTTTCACACCAGAGAAACTATTCGGTATTTGCACATGTGTGACTTATTTATTTCACTTAGGAGTATATCCTCAGTATGAATCCATTTTCCTATGAATGAAGAAATATTTTTGATAAGATATTTAATTTTAAATTTTCTTAAATTGGAAGTATTATGACAAGTTTTCAATCTAATCATGTCAATATACAGTATTACTTTACCGTAGTTTTAGTGTCTTTGTATAATAAATGCAATCTCTGCCATGTAATCGTATTAAAATAACATAACCTTTGCTGTGCCTTTTAAGTGTGACATCCTAAGCCCACTTTTTTCTCATTTGACATCCATTTGTACTGGCGATTTTAAAAATCACAATACATTGATACACATGGCGCTTGAAGTGGTATCAGGTTATCACTGCATCATGATAATTTATAGTGCACTGAGCAGCAATGCAAAACAATAAGATTGCCACTTACAGTCTATAATATCTGCTCAGCTCTGCCATAATAGCAAAGAAAAACAAAACAGCCATAGATAATGTGTAAATATGTATGACCCTTTTCCAGTAAGACTTTATAAACGCTGAAAAGTGAATTTCATTCATTTTTTACACATTATAAAATATTCTCCTTTGTTAACTTTTTAAAAATGTAAAACTCAGGGATTTAGAATATAGCTTAGTGGTTAGCAGTACTCCCCAAAAATGGTCTGAACCATTCTTAGATTGCAAGAAAAACAAATATAAGCAGCATGGCTGGATTTGGCCCAAGGGCTATAGTTTGCCAACCTCTGATCTAGTCTTTTCCTAGTATAGCAGTGCTTTTCTGGAGTTTTTCTTTTATGTAATTTCATTTACAGTATTTGAAATCTTAAACTTCATGTCTTAACTTCCATTCCGGATTTTTGCATAATTAAATTGTACAAAATATGTAGTGTCCTGTTCTCAAGATTGGTCTTTTTCCTTTTAGATAATTTTCCACTTGTTCATCAAGATGGAAAACTCAGATTCTAATGATAAAGGAAGTGGCGATCAATCTGCAGCACAGCGCAGAAGTCAGATGGACCGATTGGATCGAGAAGAAGCTTTCTATCAATTTGTAAATAACTTGAGTGAAGAAGATTATAGGCTTATGAGAGATAACAACTTGCTAGGCACCCCAGGTATGCTTCATGTAATATAAGGATTTATATATGTATAATTGCTGGATTTTTTAAAAACATTTCAGTTTTTTAAATCTTTGGTCATTGTGTAGTATTAGTACATGAGGTATGGAATGATATTTACTGATGTACTTACTACCTGATATTGTTCATGTTTGAAATTATCTTGTCAGATATTTTAAAGTTATAAATTACAAATGTTTAATGAAATGATTGCAAAGAATGGAGCAGAACAATACCCTTTTTCTTTGTTTTATTTAACTTTGTAGACATGTACCCAAGTGTAGAATAGCTATTGGAACTTTTGTTTCCTAAGATAGACTTAATTCTGCTTTGTCATTTCTGATTTTCTGAAAATGTCCTAATTAATAATCTTCCACAGCTAGTTGGTGGAATAAACTGGTAACTTTGAGCCCATTCTCCTTTACCTGAATAAATCTCATTTGATCGTAGTTAAACCTGAGAATTTATTTATCTTCTTCATTATTTTTTATTAACCTTTAGGTGACTTCATAAAATTTTTATTAGTACATGTTCTTAGTATATAATGCTTTCATTCATCATGAGACCTTGGCACATGGACTGTATATAACACATCTTAATTCCGTTTATGTCCCCTTCCCATTTGTAAAAGATTTTGGCCCTTTTCCTATTATCTTTTATTTGGCTCTTTAATATATTTAATTAGTTTTCCTGTATAAGAGAAACCATGCAATGTTTGAATTCGTGTGTGTGATCTTCACATTGTTGTCTCGAGGGTGATTGCATAAAATTTAGTAGTAAGATTTTAGCGTAACTTTTAAGAAATGGAGCATGTTTTGAGCCAGTGGCAGACTTGAATCAGAATACCTTAGCTGAAGTTTTAGCTCTATTATTTGATACGGCTTCTGGCAAGTCAATCTCTTTCACACTGTGGTTGGTTGGTTGTTTGTTTTAAAATGCAAATAACAATGTCTACCCCCAGAGTTGCAGTTTTGAAAGGTTAGATGTATGTAAACACCCTTGTAAACTGGAAAGACTTCTGTGTGATGCTACAAATTGAACCCAGGGCCTTGTGCATGCTAAGCACATGCTCTACCACTGAACTATTCCTCTAACCCCAGAAGTATTCATATTTGTATAAATACAGGTTGTAGTATTTTGTTCCCAAAGAAGTGAATTTTGTTGCGGTCCTTATTCACTCCTTGATTTCCCAGAGATAAGAGTCACTGGCTTTCTTCTTTTTCATTCTTTAACAAATTTTGCTTTTAACCTTTTAAAGTTTAAGATAGGTTCTTGCTAAGTTTCTCAGGCTGGGCTTAAACTTGGAAACCTTCCTACCTTGCTCCAAGTTTGGAATTACAGGCATGCATTACTACACATGGCTGCTAGACAAAACATTTCTTTTATAACCAGTCATGGTGGTACATGCCTATAATTCCAACCACTCAGGAATCTGAGCCAGGAGAATGGCATATTTGAGTCCAGCATGTGCAACTTAGCAAGACCTTGTCTCAAAAATTACAAAGATCTGAGGGTGTAGATCTGAAGTAGATCATCCCTGCATTCCATTCAAAGTACAACAAATTTTTTCTTTCATAATCATTATCAGATTACTGTTGGTCATGGATGAAGTGTTTGTCATTCCCCTAACTTGTTCTTTACACTGTTTTGTTTAAAACTCACTGATTTTTATTTGTAACTTGATAATTCTTAACTTACAGGAGAAAGTACAGAGGAAGAGTTGCTGAGAAGACTACAGCAAATTAAAGAGGGTCCACCACCACAGAACTCAGATGAAAATAGAGGTATATTTTTCTTTGGGAGGTGGGTAGAGGATGGAATGATAAGAAATTCATAATAGTAAATGTCAGCCAAAGACTATATAGAAATGGCACAAATTAATTTGGTGCTAAATAACTTCTCATAAAAGGAAAAATAATATTTTCTTGATATTTGGTGAGAATAATCAGCATAGTTTTTCTGCTTTACCTTTGGATTGTTTGCATGAATTGGGAGACCATGAGAAATAGCCTATTTATTTTTTTAATCTTACTGAGTTTCTTAGTATTTTTTAAGTATACAGTACAGTTACATTCACCATTAGGATCTTGTACCCTTACATGACAGATCTTGGTTCTTTTTGCCCATACCCCCTCCACCCTCCCCTATTTACAAAACCTTTCTTTCCATTTTTTCCTTTTCTCATATTTTTTCTTGTCTCTTATTTCCTTTCCCCTACTTTTCCCACTTCCCCTAAACCGTTAGCCCTTTTGAGAAATAGCTTATTTAAATGTGATTTTTTTCCCCTTGATTTTTCACCTCCATTGAAATTTCCTACCTAATTCCTAATTTACTTACATGGCTTTTTTTTAATCTTTTTTTTTTTTGAGACAGGGTCTCACTATGTAGTTCATGTAGCCCAGGCTGGCCTCAAACTCAGGGCAGCCCTCCTGCCTCAGCCTTCCAAGTGTTAGGATTACAGGAATGACCACCATGCCCAATTATACATGACTCACTAGCCAAAAGAAATGATGTATTATCTGTCCCCATGGTTTTCAGCGGGCTGTAATTTTGTCACCCTGGTGGTATTGTGGGCATTTGTGCAACCAGACATCCTGATATCCTGTAGTGCACAGCACAGCTCCCAGAATTAATAATTCAAACGTCAGCAGTACTGCACTGAGAATCCTTCTGTAACCTCAGATTTGGTGTTCTCCCAGCTTGAACTATGATGATAGTTTAGTTCTTTAACGTACCATTTTATTTGTTGTGTAGGTTCAGGGTATTGATCTGGTCTTCATTTTTATGTCAATTTAAACTATTTTTGTGGGGGTACTGGGAACTGAAGCCAGGGCCTTCACACTGAGTTGTATCCTCAGTCATTTTTAAATTTTTTATTGTGAGACAGGGTCTCAATATTTTGCCCAGGCTGGGCTCAAATTTGAGATCCTCAAGCCTCAGCCTTGAATTACAGGTGCACCACCAACCCTGGCCTCAATTTTAAATCCTCTTATATTTTTGCTACAGTTACAGTTGTCTTTTATTTTAAGACAACCTCATGTGGGTGGGGGATATAGCTCTGTGGTAAAAGTGCTCTCCTTGCATGCATGAGGTCCTGGATTCAAGCCCTAGCACAGTGGGGAGAAAAAAAAACTTACATGATATCAAAGACACTTAATCCCAGAGGGTAGTGGAAGTAATGTAGACTAGCAGTAGCAAACCTTTAGCACATGTGCCACAACGGGCTGTTTGTATCATTGAAAGCTCTTAAAAATTGGCATACACTGTTGTAGACTGTTGTTGTGGACTGGTGAAAATTTGACTAATACTATTTGTACCAACCAGTAGCAGCACTGTACCTTAAGTATTGTTTACATACTTTGATTAGTGTTTTAATGAAAATATATTGTGTTCTGATGGTCTCACTATGGTATGCTAAGCTCTGCTCCATATATCATGAAATACTGAAAATAGACTCCATTTATTTTTTAAAAGGAAGTAGACTCCATATTCCTTTTAAAAAATAATTCTAAATTTCTCTAGGATTGGCTTGCTCTTTTCAGATAAAATTGAACTTTTCCTGCCCTTATAAATCTATATGGTGTATTTTGCAAGGATCTGTAAAAGTGAAACGTTTTGAAATTAAGTTCTTTAGTACAGTCTCAGAGCACTGTTACATGATTGTCCTAATTTTAGTAGTTCCTTTTTCTTCCTCTCTCCCTCCTTTGTTTTAAGCAGGTGGAGACTCTTCAGAGGATATGTCTAATGGTGACTCTATAATAGACTGGCTTAATTCTGTCAGACAAACTGGAAATACGACCAGAAGTGGACAAAGAGGAAACCAATCTTGGAGAGCTGTGAGCCGGACTAATCCAAACAGTGGTGATTTCAGATTCAGTTTAGAGATAAATGTTAACCGTAATAATGGGAGCCAAAACCCAGAGAATGAAAATGAGCCATCTTCAAGACGTTCTAGTGGAGAAATTACAGAAAACAACAGCCAAAGGCCAGTAGAAAATCCACGATCTGAAGCAACATCTGCAAGACCATCTAGGTCAGAACGAAATTCAACTGAAACATTAACAACAGAAATCCCACCTACTAGAGGTCAGAGGAGGGCAAGAAGTAGGAGCCCAGACCATCGGAGAACCAGAGCCAGAGCTGAAAGAAGTAGGTCACCTCTGCATCCAATGAGTGAAATTCCACGAAGATCTCATCATAGTATTTCATCTCAAACTTTTGAGCACCCTTTAGTAAATGAGACTGAGGGAAGTTCTAGAACCCGGCACCATGTGACATTGAGACAGCAAATAACTGGGCCTGAGCTATTAAGCAGAGGTCTTTTTGCAGCTTCTGGAACAAGAAATACCTCTCAAGGAGCAAGTTCTTCAGAGACAGCCATCAGTGGCGAATCTACAGGATCAGGACAGAGACCTCCAACCATAGTCCTTGATCTTCAAGTCAGAAGAGTTCGTCCTGGAGAATATAGACAGAGAGATAGCATAGCTAGCAGAACTCGTTCAAGGTCTCAGACGCCAAATAACACTGTTACTTACGAAAGTGAACGAGGAGGTTTTAGGCGTACATTTTCACGTTCTGAGCGGGCAGGTGTGAGAACCTATGTCAGTACCATCAGGATTCCCATTCGTAGAATTTTAAATACTGGTTTAAGTGAGACTACATCTGTTGCAATTCAGACCATGTTACGGCAGATAATGACAGGTTTTGGTGAGTTAAGCTACTTTATGTACAGTGATAGCGATTCAGAACCTAGTGGCTCAGTCCCAAGTGGAAATACGGAAAGGGTAGAGTCACGGAATGGAAGAGGGAGTTCTGGTGGTGGTAGCAGTTCTGGCTCCAGTTCAAGTTCCAGTTCGAGTTCCAGTTCTAGTTCCAGTCCTAGTTCTAGTTCCAGTGGTGAAAGTTCAGAAGCTAGCTCAGAGTTATTTGAAGGCAGTAATGAAGGAAGTTCATCAGGTGCCAGGCGAGAGGGTCGACATAGGGCCCCAGTCACATTTGATGAAAGTGGCTCTTTACCCTTCCTTAGTCTGGCTCAGTTTTTCCTCTTAAATGAGGAATGATGACCATTCACATTTGATGAAAGTGGCTCTTTACCCTTCCTTAGTCTGGCTCAGTTTTTCCTCTTAAATGAGGATGATGATGACCAACCCAGAGGACTCACCAAAGAACAGATTGACAACTTGGCAATGAGAAGTTTTGGTGAAAATGATGCATTAAAAACCTGTAGTGTTTGCATTACAGAATATACAGAGGGCAACAAACTTCGTAAATTACCTTGTTCTCATGAGTACCATGTCCACTGCATTGATCGCTGGTTATCTGAGAATTCTACCTGTCCTATTTGTCGCAGAGCAGTCTTAGCTTCTGGTAACAGAGAAAGTGTTGTGTAATTATCTGAACCGTCAGCTGTGTAGCTGGTGTAGTGATGGGCAAACAGGAATCACTTGATTTATGTCCACTTTTTGAGTGGTGCTTAGCCTAAATGTAAAGTAACAACTGAATTGAGTCATTTCCTTCTGAAAGAATCCTGTCCTTTCTCCAGCTTCTGTTCCAGAATTAAAAGATAATACTAAAAAAATTTAGGACCTAAAAATCTGACTTCAGTACCAGTTGAATTGGTAGCATCTCTGTTACCGATAATTTATACTTGTCAGTTTCTCTTTTGTTATCTTAAAAGATCTGCCTTAGCAATGGCTCCTGTCTGTTTCACGTTGATCTTTAAAGTTTCTCATGCCATAGGAGAGAGAGGTTAAGGAAAAATAATGTTTCATAAGTGATTACTTAAAGTTACGCCATTCCTAGTTATTAGTTTACTCAGATTCAGCCACATTCTGAATATTTGTTCACCTTTCAGACTCGGTGATACTGGACATGTCAGTGTAAATAACACTAAAGATATAGAATCTTCTAAGTGTATGACTGTCTCCTAAGCCCATTACTGTGGCACCCTATAGAGTGAGCTTATAGTTTGAGATATTTATCTTGTGGAAATATTAAAAAGCCTATGCTTGTGTACGTGAAGAAGTCACATTCATTTGTTTAAAGATGTAAAGCTATTTTGTAGAGGCTCAGTACTTTTCCAATGCACTGTTGTATTAATGCATTAAAAATTGTAAAGTACCATGCTTAGAAATGAGAAAACTGCTTTTTGTGAATGAACATAGTAAAAAACACAGCAAAGTATGAAGCTGCTTTTTTAAATGTGTAGGTGTCAAGAGCAGAACATATCTATAATATTTAATGTTTATGAACAGCTACAGTGACATGAAAAGGACCATGCAGAATCAAACTGAGTGAAAGACCAATGGAAATTTTGTATTTTGACTTGGATTTAGGCAGGTACTGAAAGATGAGGGTACAGAAAACTGCTCTGAAGTTTTCCTGAGGACTGTAGTAATACAGACATTGACTGGTTTCATATGGTGAGAGCAGTAGCAGCTTGATCTTGTATCCTACTTGAATAGAGGAAACAGAATAAGCAAATTTAGCAGAGCTCTCTTTGATTTAAAGAAAATGAACCATTGCCACCTAGCACAAGTTAAATTGATGTTTTTACAAATCTCAAATTTAAAAAAACCCATGGAGGAAAGAGACTATAGACCACTTTTAGCACAAAAATTGCAGTTGGTACAGACACATGCTAATAGGAAAGTCTCGAATGTGCTTGTTTTCAAGATTTGTTATGTAAGGTACTAGTGCACACTTGTTAATATTTCATTACTGTCTCTAGTACTGTCTCTAGTACAGATATACAGGTCACATTTAAAGACCTATTGAATTAAGGAGTTTTTATACTTTGTTCAAAGTGAATCATGATCGGTTAAGATTCAAATTTCAATTGTGATACCCATATTTGAACGAAACTGCTGATTCACTCTCCATTAATGTGCATTTTATGTTGTTTTCTTAGTGGTAAGAATAGATTTGTGATAACCCCAAAAACTGTTGCCTGATTTCTCTTTTAAGGCCAGTTGGGGTCAAGATTAGTCTGGCTATGGGGCAGATTTTTTGTTTTTTGGGGGGAAAGCTAATGGGCCAGAAGAGAAATTGAACACATCCTTGGCATTTAACACCACAAAATAAAAATGAGCTAATCATCCAGATATAGGTAAATACAAAATAAGTCTGTTTTCAGAATTACCTGGCTACTTTCACTATTATCAGCTTGGCTGTAAAGTTTATTTCAAAGCTCATTCTATCATATTTTCTTCTGGCTTTCAATCCTACCTACCTATTAAAGAAATTGTAAATATGGTAGTTGTTTACTGAGGATATGTACTGCTCTTGCAAGAAAATAATATCCAAACAAAGCTTCACTTTTTTAAAATATAAGCAGATTTCACTTTATGGCGCTTATGTAATACGTTTTATTTAAAAATTTTTTTCCATGTAAAAAATCTTGATTCCTTTATATTTGTGAGCCTCTTTGTCTCCTAAGGGTGTAATCTATGGTTTTCAGATCTACAGGGTAGTCTTGATTGGCTAAAAAAACTTCCATTCGTCCTCTTGGAATAAAATGTTCTCTTGATGGAACATTCATTTTAATAGTTTAAAATGAGCAGCAGCACATCATAAGTATAATTGAAAGTTACTGACAACAGGTACCTCACTAGCCTCCCAAAATATATTACTCACTTGTGAAGTATTAAAAGTAAGAGGTAACTCAAGCAGAATGCTGGTTATGAATGTAGATGTTGAAGCTGTTCATAAACACTGGAAGTAGAACTCTCACGTTGTTGAATGCACATATTGGACCCTGTATATGTGGATACCTTTTTTTTAATAGGATTCATCCATTGGCTTTAGAATGAATACAAATTTTTAGTGGAATTTGCTACTTTTCATTTTGCAAAGTCTATGACTAATATACTTACTGGTGTTGTAGACATTGAAGACAAAGTGGATTATAGGTGTCAGATGTTCAGTGGAGAATACAAATTGTTTTTTCCCCACCAGCATCCAAACACCTACTCTTGGGAGAGCATTTTCTTGCAAAAGACTACACTTCATTTTTTGTCTTTGCATTTTCTCTATTACAGAAATGTTCTGTCTTTAAGACCTACTTTGAACTTCATGCAGTAATAGGAATAAGAAAATACTGAAAGATTACATTGTTCAAAGCATAGCGGAAAGTACTACAAACTGTATTTCCTTGAATATTTCAGTTGATAAAAATTAATTTACTGTTATGAAATGTTTGTGGTGTTTTGTTTTTAACTCCAAGCAGCAGAGAAGGTTGGGATTATTACTACTAGAAGACAAAATCAAACAAGTTAGGTTAAAACATTTTAGATCCCAGCAACACAAGAAGTGGATCATACTAATTTGGAATATTTGCTCTAAAAAGAACACATTAGTTATACTTCAGTCATGTTAATGGAGGTGGGGACTGAGAAAACTTCACATTAGTGTTGGAATGTAGTTGATAATTGCTCAGATCATAAAATCTTTAGCACCAGGAAATACATAAAAACTTTAAGAATGTGATTGATGGAATTCCTCCAATCTTAAGATTAGAAAACTGGTTAGCTTTAAGTATTACCTCAATTAATGTCTCCCCCTCCCCCAAGGAAGACATCCTTTCCATGCCAAGTATTCTTACTGTAGTGTCTGTCTCATTTATGAGAAAAATACTACTTAGTATGCTTTGTATTTAAACACCTGCTTCCCAAGTAAACGCAACATGAATGGGTCGTGAATTAGCTATGACTTTCAGTCAGTTCCCCCAAATACCCATGGAATATGTAAATGTTAAATGCTTCTTAAAAGCCCATTTTTACAGCTTGCATTCTTACAGTAGCACCTTGTGGTTGACTTTTTTTAAAATGGGGGTATTTTTATCCACTGCCTTTTATTCTCCTTTGTTCTTTGTGAACAAAAATAATTTGTAATCTGCCTTATTTTTTTAAAAAATGTTTACTGGCCTTCCTGTCAAATATTTTACCAATATTAAGTACATGATGCCATGTTTGCAGGGCACTTTTGTTCTTTACTAGTCTTATAAGACTGCTTATTGCTAAGTTTTGAAGTATTCTGTACCTTAGTAATTGAGGGTAACAAGGTACATATTAAAAGTGTTTTTCTTCAGTATAATTGAATATATTTAATATTCAATAACTTGGAATTCTTTAGTAAATTGATTTTTAAATATTGAAAACAAATTGATGTAACATACTTCATTTGGAAAGTTCAAAGTGCAAATTCTGAGTAATACATCACTTTAAAATCATTTTAATGAGCAAAATAGCTGTGGATTCAGTACTGGCCCTTAGAAATATTTGAGCATTCTAAAACTAAGAATTCTCTCTGGAACATTTCTAAAATATCTAGTACTCTGAACAGGTGAGTGTTCTTAAGTAACTCTAGTGTGTATCTAAAAGTCTACGACAGAGGTGTATCAGGGTGGAACTCTCAATAAAAGAACAGTTTTATCAGTTTATGATAGTTTTCACATCTATGTAGGTATTTAGATTCAAATCTAGAAATAGATACACTATCCAAAACAAAATTACAGCAAGGTACTTTTAAAAAATTAGGAGTTGTTTACTAAGGTTCCATGAGCTGCTTTATAGACACTTGGGTTGACTATCTTAGAGACATACAATGAAAGTGAGCCCATTTTACCACTGTGCCTCATTTCAAGAGTTCTATCAGTTCTTCATCTTGCTAATTTATTCCAATACATAGGTATGGTTGAACCAGCTGCCCAGCCTTAACTCTAGTGCCCTGTTAATATTCTTTTAAATGATGGGCTTGTATGTGTTAATTGTCTCTTGTTGGAATTTTACCTCCTGGTAGCTCCATGTGTTCCTGGTGCTGCTTTTAAAAATGTGGAACAATATGATCACATACCAAATTTGAGTATGTATGCATTTGGCCTGGCTATGTATCTGCCTGTTTTATCTTCTCCCGAGAAGAGCTGTTTTGGTATAGATGTTTACTTAGATTCATATAAAGAACTGGGCAGCAGTCTTGGAAAGCTTTCTGAAGCCTTTAAGAACCTGATAAGAGTTTTTAGGGGGAAGAGTAACAAAGGGTGCCTTTATGTCTTTGAACATGAAGCACAAACCTATGTTCTGTAAAGACTGAAGTGATTGTTACACCAGGGCTTCCTGACCTTTGGGAGAGACTTGAAACAGAGAGGAGCACAAAGCAAAGTGAATTTGGTTGGCTTGCTTTATCTGATATCTAATTTTCTTTCCATTTAAACCTGAACATAATGCCCTTCCCTAATATCTGTCTAGCAAACTCCTGGTTGGGAAGCCCTGTATTAAAGTTTGAGAATGTACCCAGTTTTCTCTTATTTTTTTGTACATTGCTTTACACCTGCTAAAAATTAACATGTTTAATGCAAAAACAAGACCTTGAAAGGTCAGTCATATTAAAGCTGGTTTGATTAATAGTTATCTTTTAGGAAGAAGCTTTTTCCCTATGTAAGATGTCATACTACAGATTTAAAATATAGACTATCAATAAAATGCATGAAGTGATCATTTGTGCTTGATCATCTCTCCTTGGGGTTTTCTTTAAAAGGGGACTGATAAAGATTCTGCTGCTTCAAACCAATGTCAAATAGATTTGGTACAGAACAATTTTAGTTTTGATTTTTGCTATGTGTGTGGGCAGGTACTTTTGTTTATGTGATATAATTTCCACTCCCAACTGTGTTGTGAATGGCTTAATCTTGAGTAAAATAGTAGATTAAAATATATTCCAATAGAAAAATCCTGGGAAGATTTATGTAAATGACATTTTAAGTAGGTGCATCTTTGCTATTGTATTCTTATCATTGCCCTGACCATTCCCATGTTTCTGTATGAGGTATGATTGAAAAATGTTAAAATAAATTTACAGTAACACACATTGCCATTACGCCATGTTAAAGTACTCCCCTTCACATCAAACATTTACTGTTCTTGGTACTTTCCTGAACAGTTCTGGAAGTACTCTTGTGAGTTTTCACTTGCATTATTGTGGCTGCCTTGATGTCCTGAATCAATTCAAAACACTTACTTTTTTTTCAGCTTTAATGAGTTTATTGGTAGATTCTAGGTATACAGTGCAGTTACATTCATTGTTGTGATCTTGTACCTCTACATGACAGGTCTTGGTTCTCATTTTTTTCCCCTTTTCTGTGCCCTCCCTTCACCCACTCCTCCCCTTCCCATTTACAAACACTTTATTTCTCCACTTTTTCATTTTGTTATATTTTTTCTTTTCCCTTATTACCTTTCCCCAACCCTTCTGACTTTCCATACACCGTTAGCCCTTTTCTTCCTATTTCACATTGTCAGTTATATCATTAGGATCTTATGTACTATTATAGTTTTTCATACCAGAGAAACTTCGGTATTTACACGTGTGACTTATTTATTTCATTAGGAGTATATCTTCAATATGTATCCATTTTCCTATGAATTAATTTATTTTCTTGTACTTTATGGCTGAGTAATATTCCATTTTATAGAAAAACCACATCTTTATCCAGTTTCCAACTGATCGGCAAATGGGCTTGTTTCCAAGTTCAAAACATTTACTTTTGATGGTTATTTTTACTTTGAAGAGCCAGAAGTCAAAAAGTGCAGATTCTGATTAAAGTGCCTGTAGATGTATCGTAAGGTTTTTTATGATCTTGCCTTTCTTTCTATTGGGTGGCACTCAGTGGCAGCATTCACTATATTTTATCACACCTTTTTTTTTTTTTTTTTTTTTGGTACCGGGGATCGAACTCGTTCTTGTGCTTGCGAGGCAGGCAGCAGAGCCACTGAGCTAAATCCCTGGCCCTTATCACACCTAAAAGACACGAAAGAGGACTTCCAGATCTGCTTCAGAAAGTGACAAAAAACGGGGTAAGTGTGTTCTAAATGAAGGAGATCATTTTGAAAGAGAAATGGCTTTGTGACTTACTATAGCTTAAAAAGGAAATTTAAACATTTTTGATCACCCCTTATATATGCAAAACTTGTCTATGTGTGCTTGTATACTCTGCAGCTTCTGTCTTCCATCCCTGCCTCCATCCTTTCAAATATGTTCCCTAAACCACTAAGATGTTCTTGTTTCTAAGCAAATCACATTCTGATACCTGAATAAGACTTTTGCTTAGTATTCATTTAGCTGGCAGTGAAAAATTTATTAGTTTCATTTCCTCTGTTGCCTTTCTCTGTCATTGGTATGAGAACTCGGTTCCACTGGATAGTTTCGACAGGGTCAGCTCTTTATTTCATGACCTAGATTTCATGCGTTTTTAGTGTCACATGATTCTATTTTTTGAAACCACTAAAAAGATTGCACTCTAGACAATTTTTTTGAAGGAAAGTGTGTGAAAAAAATTCAAGATACCTGAATAGGATTTGATATGTCTGGGTAGTTTATAAACACTCTTTATGGTCCTCCTTTTGGCAGGTAGGTTCAAACCTAGTGCCTCGCACATGTGAAACATGTACTTTACCACTGAAGAGCACCCCTAGCTTCTTAATAGGACTTTTATGAACTCTGAAAGCTAAGGTTCAATTTCCTTAAGGTCTTTGAATTTAGGCAAGGTTTAAACCTAAGGCTTTACAGATAGATTACTAATAGCTGTATTACAAATGACTAAATTTTTCCAATTGCTATCAGACTTTATATTTACTACTTTGTATAAAATTTAATCTCCAAGTGGGCCTGGGATATAGCTTAGTGGCACAGTACCTGTCAAGCGCAAGGTCCAGAGTTTGATCCCTGATACCAAAAGAAAAAAAAATCTTCAAGTGAAGTAGGAGTCTTTCTATCCTGTTTTATAGGTGTCACAGCTAAGATACAGATGTTTAGTGCTTTTCCTAGGACTACATAGTAAGATGCAGAGTATTTTCTACTCACATCTTTGATTCCAGAGTTTTGGGGCTGTTTTTGTTTTTCATACTGGGAATTAAAAACAGGGCCTTTACACTGAGCTATATCCTCAGCACTTTTTGCTTTGAGACAAGGTCTCCCTGAGTTTCCCAGGCTAGGCTTGAATTTGTGATCCTACTTCAGCCTCTCAAGAGTGCATGTAGGTGTGTGCCACCATGTCCAACTGTGTTTTTAATCCTGTTCCTATATGACCTCGTCTTTGTGTATTTCTCACAAGCCCTAAGCTATAGTATTTGTATGACTGTTTAGAATAAGCAGGAGTTTTGGCTAGTTGGCTAAGGAAAACCTAAAAGAACACAATTTTTTCTGAGGATTAAAGAAATATATTTTAAATATGGTAGGTCACTTTGGGCATTACTGAATACACCTTCGCTTCATAAGTAATGTGAACCTTTATGTTAACTGGTTAAGTGTATCTTGGAATCATTCCTAGAGCCAAAGTTATCAAAATATTTAATCTAGAAGTAGACTAGAATAAAATTTGGGGAATCTTTATGTTTACTGGTCATCCCAACCCCTTAGTACATATGCTCTTGCCCTAATTATAATCACAATTGACCTAAAATGTAAAATGAGTAGAAAGAATTGCAGCCGGATGTTCTGTTCTTTAGTACACTGCCATCCAGGAAAATGCCCTTTAAAATTAGTTGTCTTGGGTAGCTATAGGCATTCCAAGAACGTTGCTGTTACTGGTCAGAAAGTACTTGGAACTTGTTTAAATTACTTTGGAGACAATTTTTATGAGTCATTGAGAAGTAACCCTATTTAGTTTTTTTTTTCCACTTTATTTGCTACCATTGAGATGAATCTTGGTTGATTCTAAGACTTATCTTTTACTCAGTGGATGGAGATTATCACCCTTACCCATATTTGGGACTGTTGCAAACAAGACAATTCTTTCCAAATAATAGGTTCAGTGGTGTTTAGAGTCAGTAAATAGCTACTGAGGTAA